GGTCTTTATTGTGTTCCTATCGAAATTTATTTAAAAAATATTTGAGTGCCTTGGATTCTGGCGCGATAATAGATTAGACTATTTCAACGAGAATATTTATCGAGTACTTAGTTTGTCGCTATGAACTAATAAATAACAAGGAAATTTATTCAATAAAAATGGAATAGATCTCTGATGGAACAAGATCAAAATCCCACAATAAAAAACTGGAATAACAGTTGTTTTAGGTCCATCTTTGACACTAGTTATTGTTAATATTGATTGTTGTTGAAAATTCTTAGCATTCAATGAAAGTTGTTTTGATGTCCGTGTCAGAGAATCATCACATTGATTTTGGGATTGAACCAAATAATTTATCAACTGCTTTTCCTATTGATATAACTTTATAATTAATTTGTCCTCGCTAAACAACTGGAGTGAATTGAAGAGAAATCTAAGTATATTTTCAAAAACAAATTTCTTCACATGAATATATTTGTCCTCTATTAACTTGATAAATTACATTTCAATACCAATAATCTTCATTTTAATGAACAGTTCTTGCGATTCATTGTTGAGTGTAGATGTTGGCATGAGAGAATAGAATACGATGACTTTCACCCACACCCTTCATATCTAGAGACTTCTATAATGCATATTTCTTCGCCGTCAATCTAGGGTTAAATCCCATGTGTTCGATTGCGGTCAAATTGCGACGCAGTTGCGCGTAGTTACGGCAAAAAAATTGCAGTTGCTGAAAAAGACGACATAAATGACGTTTCACTCTATTAATATTTTTATTAGGAATCACAAAAATTTTTACAAAGTTAAAAAAAATAGAAAAATTTTAAAAAATAAAAATATAGAAAATAAGAAAATAAAAAATATATAAAATGACACATCTCAAGCATACGAGCTCGTTTCTTTCTTTTTCTATTACCAAGACACTTCATTTAGTCTCTCAAATTATCAAGATAAGCATCATGAATACTTTAATAAAGTAGTTAAAGTAGAGATTTTTTCACAAAAGAAGAGCATTTTTAAGAAAAGAACGATCGTTTATAAAGTTTGATCGAAGGTTTTAGGGGGCGAGAAATCCGAATCTGAAATCGGTTTTTCGACATTTTGAGTTCGATTTTCACAAAACTATTTTTTTCGTAAAAAAAATGATTTTTTTTTAACAAAAAAATTGATTTTCTGAAAAAAATTTTTACGACAACACTGATTTTACCACAAAAAATTGTGTGATAAAAAAAATAATTTTTGTTACAAAAAATTTCTTTTAGATCACGTTTTTGTAAAAACATGACTTTTTTGGCAACAAAAATCTTTTACGACAAAAGTTTTTGCGGAAAAAAGGAACTCAAAATTTTGAAAAATCGATTTCAGATTTAGATTCCTCGACCCCATAAACCTTTGGTCAAACTTTATAAAAAATCGGTCTTTTCTTAAAAAAGCTCTTCTTTTGTGAAAAAAAAGGAACTCAAAATTTCGAGAAACCGGTTTCAGATTCGGATTCCTCGACCCCGAAACCTTCGGTCAAACTTTATAAAAAATCGGTTTTTTCTTAAAAAAGTTCTTCTTTTGGTAAAAAATCTCTACTTCAACTTTGAAAATTCCATGATGCTTGCCTTGATAATTTGAGAGACTAAATGGAAGTGTCTTGTTAATAGAAAAAGAAAGAAAATGAGCTCGTATGCTTGAGATGTGTCCTTTTATACCCCATTCAGCCATTATTGTAAGTGTTTAAAAACCATCGAATCGGAAAATTAAGATATTTATTTATCATTGGCTATTTTTTCAGCAACTGTAAGAACAGTGAATAGTTTAGCAGGTACTGCGATCACTGCGTCGCAGATGCGAACGTAAATGCGTCGCAGTGAACACAGTCTATTTCTTTAATCTCAGCTGCGGCCAGTGCGTCGCAGTTACGCGCAACTGCGACGCATTGATCGCAGTGCGCGTAACTGCGACGCAGTCGGTGAAAAAGAGGCGACATGGGGTGAATCGATTTTCGGCGAATGCTACTTGTAGTTCAAACGTTTTGAAAAACATTGATAGACAATGCTGTTAATGGCAAGTTACTTGAAAGAGCCGACTGACACAAATAAAATACATATAAATGACTCGTTTCGAAATGTATTTTTCTTGATGGAGTAATGAAACAATAAAAGCATTTCTTCTGTTTTGCTGCCATCATTTGAGTTTTCATTATTAACCACGTCTAGACTTTCGATGTAAACAACAAACAAGAGAGAAAAAGAAAAAAAAAAGAAGAGAATTGGTTACTATTTATACTTGCGAGATAGCATTGCTGTACAGTCAATTTTTCATTTGACGACGAGCCTATAATTGTGTAGCTGTGACCAGACGAAGGTGAGTACTCTGAAAAAGGCATTAGTGAGTTTTGAAATTGTTTCGAAATAGTAGAAGTTGAAAGTACGATTTTGATAAATAGTTTGAGGTGTATGGATTGGTATACGAAGGAACACATTTTCATTTTTAGTATATCGATCTATCGTGCAAGAAGCCGTGCGTTACTTGAAAATGACGCATATCTTGTCATATAAAAAAAAAGTAACTGCCTGAGAAAAAAAGCAACTAAATACCTAGTGAAATGTACCGATCAACTTTCCATGTCAAGTGCCTAAAGTCGAGTAGGATGCAGAAATCCGCACCAGAGGCTCTATGAAGATACTAGTAAATATAAATGTTGTTAGTCTTTACATTCATTTTATGCTCTATTGATATCAACTCCTGTTTTTGAGATCTGTACTTCTAGTTGTTCTTATGTCATATTCAGATATGGTTGATTTCAGACAACTATCCTAAAAGTCTGACAACTCAACCGAGTGATCTTTAATACAATTGAATGACTCTCTAATATAGTAAAATTACAGAAAAATTAATGCAAACGTAGCATATAGAATAATTTGACTAGCCATTTGTCTAGCTTTTCTTCACTGAAAAGCAAAATAGAGAAGATGGTGGACAGAGTCGTGAGCGATGAAGAAAACTGGAAAAGCTCTCGAGACTATTTTATATTCATTTTTTCACGAGAAAAAAAAGATGGAGTAAATAATCGAGATATGACGTAACCAATTGAGACGGAAGCCTCAGAATCACTTCGCTTCGTTTCGGACTCGGTTGCTTGGCATTGTTTACAGCGTGTATGTAGAATATGATTACTCCATTGCTCTAATGGTCTAGGCTGTAGAAGTATAGTACAGGGTCCGAGATAAACTGAAATTTTACATTACAAATTTGATTCAGTTAAAACGAGCGAAGAACATTATTTGGAGTCTATTGAATGGTTTCAGAAAGCCCAAAGGGGATAGAGACTCGCATTAAGTCAAAGCTTCATCGTTCAAGTTCGGTTTTAGACTCTTTTGTAGTGTTATCTTTGTTTTATCATCCAATTTTAGATTTCTAAGAGGTTGGATGACGCTTTGCGAATACTCAAACACATAATTATAGATGCAAAAAAAAAAAGAAAACAGATATAGTTTTTTTGGCTGCGAGCAATCTATCTTGTGACGGAACTGTTTCACAAGGCTCAGTGAACAACATTGCAACATTAGAATTAATTAGTTTGTTACATGTATCATAAATGCTGACGGGAACATTTGTGTAATATTGATTGGGTTCTATTGTCAGTCTGGAAAAGCAGAAAAGTGATAGAAAACGCCTTTTTCATCCATAGCTATCATGAGCAGAGGTTAGGTGCTCGTCCATTCCTCAATCCTGGAAAATTCTCATTTCCGGCCAGTATATTATTTTGGAACGACCCTACTTCCATCACCACTAAAATAACCTTGTCTTGTTTAGTTATTTAACTTGGAAGAGTCATTGAGATTACACTTCCAAATGGCCATATCAAATCTGATTTAAGAGAGACAGTTCGATTGTCTTCGTGCTTGCAAACACCTTTCATGATCGACTAAAAACTAAAATTAGAAGTTAGATCCTTTTAAACGATTAATTTTAGCTCATTAGGTTCACAGTCTAGACACTTCTCATCAAGTATACCATCATCAGCGACTGAAAATTAGCTAGTAATAGAAACAAACTTCACATAATGGGTGATTTTGTTTCTCCTGAATCATCTTGAGCAAATTTATTATGCAATGGTCTCTACCACTACTGATTATAAACGTTGTACGATTGCCGATCTAAAGTCTACCTTAATTATTTTGAATAACAAAAGCAAAGAGATCACCAAATTTTCGTTGAAGATAGATTTTACCATTGAAAATGACAAATCGTGTTTAAAGTAGATATTTATATTTTCGCTAAAAATTCGAAAACTTTGATTATTTTTTACTTTCTAGTATGCGACAGAACTTGATAAAAAAAAGCAATGATGCGGGACAATGTTTAATCTGTTAGACGGAATTTGTATACACATGAGAGTTAAAATACTGCTGCAATTTCAGTTAGACATTTTGTCATTTGATTCTACTTCGGTTTGTTTCCTAATGGAGCAAACGATAGATGTCAAGGACATTATCATTATCTGTTATCGGTAAAAATAGCTTGAATTTCTTCAAAATTACAGCTAAGTTCTTGCTGACTTTCAAATTTGTGTAATTGCTCATCGACATGCTCATGAAAAGTATGTTTTGTTAATTTTAGAAGTCCAGCTTTCACTTTCGCAATCGAAATTATATTCGCATGCTGTTTTGATTTTATGCTCTTTTATCGATTCATAAATCGATGAATCAATAGAAACCAATTTCTATGCAGAAATATATCATTCATTGAAAAAACATTAAATAAAACGAACCATTACTTGGAGAGACGGGATAGATGAGTAAAGAAACGACCCGTACTCTCCAACCTATATACTTGTATGCTGAATTGCTCTGATGTAAGAAAGACTCAACTATCGAGCCTTAATTTTGTAGTGAATAGTGATTTTTAAAAAGAAAAGAACTCTTTTCAAAATAATACTAGTAAGAAAAGGTTGTGTTCACTGTCTTCTTAATATTTCAGTTTCAAATCAAAAAAATATACTCATAATGATTTGGATAAAATGTCAATGTTATTATGTTTTTATATTTTTCAATCTAATCCATCTCAATGCATGTGCACGACCAACATTCGACACGTTATTTCAAGTATCAAACGATAAAATTACAGATCCACTTACTGGTTTACCATTATCTACAGAAACACACGAACATAAATTGAATTTAACAAAGGCAAAGATTTTGAAACAAGCGAAAGCTACACCGACTACGTCATCAAAATATATGAATATTGATCAAGTTAAATCTGTTTCATTGAATACAACAGCTAAGGTGAATCAAACATCCTGCATTGCACTTAATGCTATTCGATCTTTACAATCTGTAAAATGTATGAGTAACAGCATTGAAATGACTTTTGACACTGCAGCTAACAGTGCTTATGTATATCAACAATGGATTGAACGAAAAGTTTCATTTATTAATGGTGGAAAAGAATGGGATTGTATAAACTCAACAACAGGAGAACCCATGATAATTATGAGGAAACTTAAACCAAATACATTTAAATTGAAAAAGAATCTGATAACTGTTAATATAACAAATGATACAGGCATTACACCCATTGTCTGTTTTGAAAGTTTAACAATGCATCTAACATCAGAACAAGAATACCCTACTCAACAAAACTCAACTGAAACGAGTACAAATGAAACTGTGACAACTAAGTCTACAGCGAAAGAATCTATTGGGAAAGCATCGTCAAGCAATTTTCAGCCAACATCACCAGCTCAAGATAATACTTTTACTGCAGGTGATACGGCCAGAATTTCATGGCGACAAACCAGTTATGACAGCTCTTATAATAAGTATTTTAAAGTTAAATTGAAACGTCATCGACCATTATGGTTTGATGCAGAAATTCAGACTGCAACATCATGTATGGATATAACATCGGGTGTTTGTTTTGATCGAATACCATCAAATGAGGCTTTAAGTGCGAATTTTTATTATGAATTTAGTTGGTGTGGTTGGTGGCCATTTGGATGTTCAGTAGATGGTCCATACTTTCAAATTCCTCCACGTCGTGTTGGCGGATGGAATTACAATAGCTATTATGATCGAGCGGAGAGTCAAAAACAAATTTTTTATATGGATTGTTCATCAAATTCATCCAGTGTTATTTCACGTTTATGTGGCGAAGGTCGTCAAATGTCAATTGATATAGCGTGCACAAATTGCTATATGAAATATGATTATAGCATTTTTCGTTTGGATCTTTTATCAAGTGGTGGTCAACTTGGCAAAATGAATGTTACGTTGGTATCAACAGCAACAGTAAATTTGCAATTATTATTTATATTTAATTTTATTTATACTAAATCAGGTGCAATCTCATTGGGAAAATATCCTATATATGGTTATGAATTTACTGTATTGGGCTATTCATTTGATTTAGGATTTACTCTTGAAATTGAATTGCCATATAAAATTCAATTAGATGCACTCGGTCAAGTATCTGCAGGCTTGAAATATACATTAGATACGAGTATCCAATTGATTTCGTATGGTTCTAGCAAACAACCTAGTGTTTCTTGGTCACTACAGAAATATTATTATCCAATAGAAGCAGAGCTTAAGTCAAAACTTACAGTGGATGTTGGTATAAGGCCAACATTAAGAGTTGGCGCTGTAATATTTTCAGTTGGTGTAACAACTGAAGGTTTTCTAAGCTTTCAAAACGAATTTCAATATCCACCATTTTCTGCTTTAACCACCTATAACTACGATTACAATCTAGCAAATCCATCTCTATTTCATTATAACCATCCATCAGATGCATGTATTTCACAACACTTTTTACAATATCATGTTCAACTTGGTCTTCGGAATACTTTATTAATATTTGATATCACGTTAGGTCCCTTAAATAGCATAATACAATTATTTACTAATACACATTACGAAAAACCATTGTTACCTGATTATGTAAGAGAATTATTAAGTGGTTGTTTATTTAAATCGTCTAGTATGGATAGTCCGCAGTCGATTAGTCTTTATTTAGATACACCACTCAATACATCTTCATCTTTTTTGGACTACTTCAAACTATCGTTAGCATTTGATTTAGGAAACGTTCTAAAGGTTAATCCAACAAGAATATTATTAAGTGGAGTTCAATCCTATTTTGATCAAAAATCAGGAAAATCTGTTACAAAAGTTATTGCATTGTTATTACCATCCGTCAAATCTCTTGCTTCAGATCCAACTGTACAATCATTAGCTCAAACATTAAAATCACAAGAGATGAATCCATCATCATTCTTATATACTAATACTAAATGGTTAAAGTTATTAATGAAAGATTTAACACTGCAATCAAAGAATATCGGTGTATCAGCAACAACGTCTGGTGAATAACATAAATATATAAAATAACTTATTTGAAAAAAGATAATGATTATTCGACGTTTCCATGATCGATGTCATCATTTTCAAGAATTTTAAAAGAAAAATTATTATTATTACAAGAAGGAAAATAAAATAAAAATAAAAAAAATATATAAAGTTCATTATTATCCATTTGCATTAGGCAACATAGTTCTTGGTAAGCCATTAAGAAAGCAATCAGTGGCATCGAATGTCTTGTTTTATTAGGTTTAGGCTGAAATGTCAGGATTAATAAAGACTTCTTGATGAGTAGACGATAAGGATGACTGTCTTGCCAAGCAACATAAAAATCATTCCAATTAATTTGATGGGTGTGGGGTGTGGGTGTGGGTGTGGGTGTGGGTGTGGGTGGGTGTGGGGTGTGGATGTGTGGGTGTGCGGTGTCGGTGTGGGTGTGGGTGTGGATGTGGATGTGGATGTGAAGAAAGGTAAGACACTCACACCCACGCCCACCCAGATTGAGTATGTTTTAAGACATCCTTCTATACATCTTTTTTTGTTAATTCATCAATATATTAATAATATATTTTAAATAAAAAAAAAATTAAAAGTAAAAAGAAACAAACCCGATAAATTATTCGTTTTCCAATGATAGCCTAATGAAAGATGATAAGCAACTCTTACTGGTACAAAATAGAACATATACCTATGGATTATAAAATAATTTGTCAAATAAGACAAACAAGTAAAGATTCAAAATCATTGTACTATAGCGTTTAATAAAAAAAAAAAAGAATGCAAATTTAAATTTTGATGATCAATGATTGAGACATAAGCTTTTGTTTGTAATTAGATTTGATAGTAGTCCGATAGAATGTCTTCGGATGAAATAATGTTTTTAGTTGCAATGTCATACAAACTACATAAAATAATGAATCGTTGGTATGTAAAGCGAGACCGACTTCATTTGATTTTAAATTCAAATGAGTTCATTGAAGTTGATGAAAAATTAGTCTGCTTATAATATAACAATTAATTAACTAGTTCATTCGAACACAATTTATCAATATAGTTCCACGCAGACATAAAATGCTAAGAACAATGGAAGAATTCTAGTTCAATTTTTGTTAATGTAGTTATTCACAAAAATCGATAAGTTTCATTTATTCTCTTCTTTCGAATCATTACTTAACACAATGCAAAGATTTCTCGATTCGCAAAAAGATACTGTTCTAACTAAGAAGATAATATAATCTATAATTTATGGTTTTAAACTAGGCTCCATATTTTTAGATTTCTTAATACATAAATATTTTCACAATTGCATGATGCTACAATATATGAGTGACTACATTCAATCTTAGATGGAACAAAACTGATAGTCCAAAGAATACTATATATGAATAATTCTGCAAATAAATACATTCAGACAATATCTTAACATATTGAATTTAAATATCGGTTGGGGCAAAAGTTTTGCAAGTATCTTCGCTCAGGACCATGATAGAAGGCTGATTTTTGTTTTCAAAACATGTCCCATTTAATACTCTATAAGGATTGCAAAACCAAATCTTTTTGGCTCTTTCTCAAATTTTAATAAATCAATAAAGGTGAAGATGTCTATTGTTGCACTATATCCCACTATAAGAAACTTGAAATATTTTGGATATTTTTAAATAGAGCATATCAGGTACAATTCATTCATTCTCGAGTGCAACATTTGAAAAAAGTGGAACTATAATGAGTCCTGTAAGGCAGAAAGGTTATCATCTATTCTAGGTTTAAGAGTCAAAACTTTGTGACATTTGTGTCTTTTTTTTCATGGCGCAACCTCCTAAGAAGGGTTTTTTCTGGTAATGTTATTCGAAAATACGCTTCAAAAAGCATTGATCTTGTTGAACTGATACCTAGTTCATGCACTTCCAGACCATACTGAGACTGAAATTGCAAAAAAACAATTAAAAAGAACACAAACTGAAACGAATGTTGCATGAAACAATGTTCGGAGATAATGTGTTCAATTGAAAATGAGAAAAAGGCGTCAAACAGAAATAATTACTGATAACTTATTAAATATCAACAACTTGATAGTGTTTTTTTTGTTTTCTTTTGCACTAGCAAGTTCAAAGTTTTCATTTAGTATACCGCTCAGTTCGACAACTTTAGTTGTTAATACTTCAAACTCATAATTTCAGGGTTTTCCAGATTTCTTATAATGGGATATAGCGCAACAATAGATATCTTCACCTTTATTGATTTATTAAAATTTCAAAAAGAACTAAAAAGATTTGGTTTCGCGATTCTGATAGAGTATTAAATGGGGCATCTTTTGAAAAACAAATCAGTCTTCTATCATGTTCATGATCGGAGATACATGCAAAACTTTTGCCATACCGGGTATAACTATATTATGCATTACATAGAATCATCACACCAGATCTTCGAGATAACAAAATTGATGATTATGCCACATAATATTTATCTAATGTATGATAAAATCACACAGTAAAAAATCTTTTTTCTCTTAATTTTTCTCGTATTGAGATCTTATTCATTTAATATAGATGTCATGACGACAAGCTAAGTCACAATAAATTTCCTCATAATTTTTAATTAAAGAAATATTAAATACATTTATCAATAAAAGAATATTTAATCAAATACATAAATATATGGGTGTGGGTGTGGGGGTGGGGGTGAGATTCTTCTCTTCACACCCACACTCACTCACACCCACACCCTCACACCCACATCCACATCCTCACACTCACACCCTAAATTCGATCAAGCTGAACGTTTTTTTCGAAGAATGCTCCAAGAATTATCTACTGATGATTATTCCAATTTATCAGAGAGCTACCAAGAATTAGCAGTTCTATCTGCCGACACAGGAGATTATGGAATAAGTCTTGAATGGAATCAAAAAGCACTTGAAGGTGTGGATGTGGATCTTCTCTTCACCCGTACCCACATCACAACCACATCCACTAGTTCAGCACGAGCTTCGTTTACTTTTTCCAAAACCTGGTTACTATCTCATATATTGAAAATGCGATAATTTCGAGCCATGATTCGGATATCCATGTTTCCTGTGACTTTTGCAATTGAGATGAGCGAGATCATTACAAAAATAACACAAATGAGTGATAGTCAGATTGAAAAAATACAGCATCTTGGCTTGTTTTTCTACTATTCCGGACAATCTACATATTGAGGCTCTGTTTATTTCGGTCATCTTTCCACACTTACGGTAACTCTGAAAGTTTACTCGAGCCAGTGGTTCGTTCATTGTGTAAGTATTGAAGTTTCAATTAATATTTGAATAGGCCCTTCGTGAGACTCGTAAACCATTTCTCTGATTATGAATGTTTCGTGGGAGCTTCTGTAAAACTCTCAGATACCATCACAAATTCAGCTACTTATCTGTTGATGAGTCACACTTCTCTTTTCTTGCATTTCTAAATATTGACTCATATATATCCATTTCATCATAAAAATTCTATCCGCAGAAAAATACGAAGGTTTTTATTCATGTCGATTCGAGACAACGACACTTTTCGACGCATTTGTCAGTTTATTGTTAATCTTAGTGCGGCTAGAAGTTTATTGGCATTTGACAAGAGTCAATTTTCTCGTTTATCTGATGATTCCAAGATTATGTCTCAACTTACGGCCGACATTTTGCAACAAATGGTCGATGCTCTATATCACTCGCTCACCATTGGTAGAAATAGCATAATTGTTGGGAGTAGAGATCCGTCGGTCCAATTTATTGCTACCCAATTCAAGAATGCGAACATTCAAGAAAGTCAACTCGAACCAAGTGTGATTGAAACAGTACTGACAAAAATCATCGACAATCTAGATCAGTATCCACAACTTTAAAAAATCAAATGTAATTTGTCATACACTCATGCTAGTTCGATGATGATGGCTGTGAAAAGCGTGCGAATATGTCATAGCGAAGGAAGAGATTGAAATATCGTTTACGTTACAACTAGATGATATAAAAAATGTATTCATTCATTGATGTCTGAAGGACATGATATGTACAAAACAAGAGAAAAAAAAAAATAAAATATTCTACGTAATTCTTAAATTTTCCTCAAGCAACAATAAACAAATTACACAAATCAGCTATAATCTAACGAAGAGAGATTCAACTACAGTGTCCGTCACATTTATCTGATCTACTTTGATTCTATGCTTATTCTATTACCAATTCTTCTTGTCTCTATGTGGAATATCATTTTTCAAATTATCTAAGTAAATGATATTGAAAATTGACACTTTGATCGACTACATCATGACATTGAAATCGATTCCACCTATTTTTTTTTTATCATTTTGATTAAGAAGAAAAATGAAGCCTATATAATCAAAAGTTGCGCATGAGTTGAAAGCTAGTGAACACAAATGGGAAAAATCAAAGGATTATTGTATTACTTCAGTTTATAGTAGTAGAATGAGATTATTATTTGTCATATTAGTCATTATCATGTCCGTATTTGATATTATTCAAGCGGGTTATTTCGGAAAACCATTGCCAGATCGGAACGCACGTAAGCAATTTATTTGTAGAAAGAAAATAAATATATAAATGCTGAAAAATGTTTTCATAATTAAAGGCAATTGCGGAATAATAGACGGCAAATTATGTAAATTTAATGATGAATGGAAATCAAAAGATTGTCACAAATGCTCGTGCAGCAAAAGTGGAATTAACTGTTGCTTGTAAGTGTTTTAGTTGACTTCTCATTCAAGGATCTTTATTGGACACTTGATGAGGTGAATAAAATGATTTTTTGTTTCGATTCTACGTAGATGAGTTTTTTTCATCACACACTATTAGTAAAACACGTTACACAGCTAATGGACATTTTGTATTGTACAATGGATGCATGTTCCTAAGTACATTCGGGTGACTTGAAAAAATTTGGAACTATGATCTCTCTAAGTTAAATAAAGAAAAACTTTAGAAAGTCAAGATATATTTCGAGTTTCTAGAAGATTCAGTATTTTAAAGTTGGAGTAAAGAATGTCTATTGGCCAAATGGACGGATATTCGCAATTAGCATGTCTAAATTCATATCATGTTGATTAATTCAAATCAAGCGATTTAAGCACTACTGGATATTTTCTTTCAAGATTCATGCAGTTTAGATTGGTGGTGTCAAGTTTCCCTAACTATGTGACAAATTCCACTTTACGATGAGAAATTCAGATAAAACTACGTTACATAATGCAAACAGGCTTTTTTATGCAGTTGGTTATATGCTCAAAAAGATCCAAACGCATATTTATGAATATAATTCACTTTAAAAGTATGTTCATTATATACTTGAATAAATAAACGGAAATTTTGCTTTTTTTTCTCATCATAAGACGTATATGGTTCCAACTAAGTATGACAAAGAAAATTGTCAAGCAATTTTCAATAAACGTCGTGACCAATATGATGTTGTGAGAAAAATTAATAAACGTATAAAATGCCCAATTTATGGAGGTGTTGGACGATAAGTTATCATCTTGACAGCGAAAATCACATTAATGATTGAATTGATTATGATACTTTTGTGAAATAATTTTTGCAAAATTAAAACAATTGTAATTGATTATATTTGTTCATTAAAAGAAATCCATAGATCTATTGTTCTTCTGTGTATCAATAAGCTAATTTGTATAGAAAGTCACGGAATCTTCAATTTCAAATAAAACAGACACATCTTTTTAATAATTGTTATTTGAATATTATATAATAAAATAGAGGATGTCAAACGATGTTTATTTTGTTTATTTGAAAACCTTCTATGTAATTGATGATATTAACTTTTTAACTTGAAGTGTCTTCAAATAGAAAATCTAAATTGGAAATGTCGATATATTGGTAGTCATTACCATCAATTGAAGCTTATGTAATCGTTGACATTTACAAACATCCTTTTGCTTTTTTTTCTGTTATTAAAAATCGGCTTTTATCTTTGACTTGGTTAGTATAACAATAGAGAAAGTGATGGAAAATCTTAACTAAAACTTATACACAATACTTTATATTTTACTTGAAAAACATATGTATTAGTGTTAAATCAATCTTGGCTTTAGTAATATGATCAGTTTATTATCCCACAACGTAATTAACATATTTTATTTTGACGAATACATTTCAATTCGCTTGAGAAGAGAAGTTGGATCATAATAAACATCTAATGATGATAATTTGTCTTCATTAATATTCTTTAAAAAAAGCTCTAACCCATGCTCGTATTTCTTCGACTTGCTCGGGTGTTGCTGCAATAGGTAATGATATATTGATAATCAATGAAGAAATGTATTAAAGTTGTGATGTTATAATTAGAAAAACAGAGAATAGATATTAGGTATGAAGCAGCATGCTTAATGGTTCGAAGAGTGTATATTGTTTGCTTAATCAACCAAGAATAATAATAAAAATGGCGTTTATGAAAAAAAATGTGATAAGTCAAGGATGATGATCGAAGAATACACTATCTATTGTTTGCGAATATTAAAAAAACAGAGATACAAAAAAATTAATGTTTAATTATAGTAGATTTCTTTGGTGTGAATTTATATCAATTAGGTCGTTTTTGTAATAAAAATTTTATTAAGTATCACTTTGTCTTATAAAGAAGTCTATTTTTTTTTTCATATCATCATGTGGCAATTACTAATATATTTCTATTTTATCTGCCTTTTACCTGTTTGTTATTTTGAGAACCAATTCTGTTTTATTTTTAGGCAAAATCAAATGAAAAATTATTATGCGTTATTCTTTGCAACAAATAGGTAGATTTTGTGTAAAGATAATAAATCTTTAAGAATAGATGTGCCGTCGTATCTTTTATTCGATAAAAAAGGAGTCGAACAAGCTGATAGGTTGACAGTTGTTCAAAAATGAGATCGATCACATCTAAAATTGACGAAAAAGACAAAAATAATACAAGGGAGCATACAAATAAAAAATCGCGGAACGCTCAAGAAGTAATGACATACCAAAGAGATAACTAAATTCTTGTGAGACAACGTATACACTACAAAACAGCACCAAAGATAGGTCTTATATTAATATACAAGATATTCGCATGGCAGTATATCTAAGAAGCTACTACTGCAGTTTGGTGATGCTTTCGTCCTCACCCTCAAATAGACTGCTGCATTCAATGTACCAATCACTGTAAGGATGTCACTAAACTGCATTCTTCAGTATTAAAAAACAAGATGACATACGATGATGGAACTTGTCACTACGAATATCAACTGCAGACATGATACTCGACGTAGGATACATCTCATTTTACATCGACAATTTTTTTTTAATATAAAAAGGTCTTAACTTGTTTATTGTAGAGCCCATGCCGTCAAAATTGCGCGAAAACCGACGATTAATCATGATAAAATCACTAAAATTGGAATTTTTGCCGATTTTTATAAAAGAATTGCGATATATTTTGTTATCCAATTCTCTCCATTCCCCTCACCTCTCTACTCTCGTCTCTCTGCTCTTCTCTCAACTCTGTCCCTCTAAAAGAAGTTACCAACAGTTTACTGTCAACCAACTGACTAGTACCGTGGAAAGGCATGTCATATATATACACGAAGAAAAGAGAACACAGACAGAGAGTGCGTGAGTCAAGAGAAATGGGAGTTAGTCCACCGTATATCAGGAGTATAGTGGCGATCCTGGCCGTGTCTAATAGTAGACATCGTCGATTGGTCGTAATCCTGATTCCAAATACTTAAAAATCGGCAATTACTCGCGATGAATCGTAGTTAATCGTTAAAATATCGGCGATATCGATGACATGGGAAAATAAAAAGAAGAGAGAGTGTGTGTGTGAGAGAGAGAGAAAGAATAAGGCACAGAGATTAGGGTATGGAAAAATAGAAGGATAATAAGGGAGACAGATAGCTTTAATAACAGGCGTAAATGCTACACTCTTTTCAACAAAACAAAGCAAAACATTAATACACGCAACTTTTGATCTGTTGAAATACATGACACAATATATTTGTCAAAGATTTGTGTTATCTACCTATTTGCGATCTTTACATAAAACTTGAATATATTCAGTATTCAAAATATGTCAAACATTTCATAGCGGTCATTTTGGCATACGTTGTAGATACTTCGATCGAGTACAAAGAAAAGATGACGCTGCTCGAATCATATGTCTCGAAATGCATTTACAATAGAAAAAGGAAATTCACGACAAATAAGCGATATTAGATGTTCGATCGATGATTATATCGGCTATGCACATATGGTTTCTCAAGGAACAAGCGTAGCTTACACGTGAGAAGTTATGCATTTTGTCGCGGTTGATTGATATTTTTTCCTCTAATTCTCTCTCATACCATACCGATAACAGTGTATGCTTTAATTTTTCTTCGATTAGTATCAGCAGTCAAGCACTAACACCACTTAGCACAGTACTAATTGAATGGAGCATCTGTTCAAAGGAGCTGTACACATGATACAGCACACTGTATATGAAACTTGTTATTCTTCCATCTATTTTGTCAATGAGAGCCATGTGCTTGAATAATGCATTCCAATATTCAATGAAGAACAAGTCATCGCACTTGTCTATTATTACATTGATAGAATAGATATATATAAGTCGTTATCAATCATGTTCATTCTGTCATCCGATACATCTAGAAGTGCTTTCGTTATATGTCAAACTGTTTTTATAGTGATGATACATTGTATTTTTCTAAGTGAATCTAGAGATGCAAAGATGTTTTCCTTGGTGAATTTTAAGCTTTGCGTCAATATACCATCTCAAAAGACATATTATGCTGCAGACGTTTTCCAGCCCGAAACTATCGTCCTAGGCTAGTTGATATCATTTATGACAGTCACCGTGACACTTATTGGCATGCATCACCATAAAATGATGATTACAGCTAGTGCAGGCGATCGCTATTGTTTGGCATAGAGTAACAAAAAAAAAAGAAAGCTGCAACTTTCGTTGTTCTTATCAATTCTTAACCTTTTTCTCTCTTTCATGATTTTCATTGCACTTTTCTTTTTTTTTTGCTTCGCTCGTCAAGCACACATACGCAAAAAACATTTATTAAAGCAATAATTATACGTGTTTCTACATGAAATTCGACGATTTTCTATATACGATCAATGATTTTGGTCGTTATCAAAAGTTAAGCCAATTCTTCATATGTCTCACTTACATAATAACACCGGGCAAGTTCATTTAGCATTCATTTTTTGTTGAATAAATTCTCCTATTCAATTTAGTTATTGTCTATGTTTGGTCATTTGTTGCTGCTACACCTTCTTTCCGTTGTAAGCTACATGAATATGACAATATTTATTATACGAATATTTCAACTTTCTTCAATGGGAGCGAACCTGATAAAGAATATTGTAAAACAAATACAAAAATATCAGTAAAAGAATGTCAACGATGTTATATGAAAACAAAATCTAATACGAAAACGATAATTATTCAACCATGTAAAAATTACGTTTTTGATCAAACATATTATGATTATACACTTGTTGAAGAAGTATGTACCAATTACATACAAGTAACAAATCTACTTTGTTTCCTTTCTTAGTGGTTAATGGTATGCGATCGAACTGTATTTCGTTCAGCAGTACAAAATGTATTTTTTTTCGGTTACATGATCGGATCGGTATTCTTCGGGATCATGGCTGATAAGTAAGTTTTCTTAAAATGAAAAAAAAAACTTCTTGAAATATAATTACAGTTTCAAATCGTATTTTTTTTTAGCGAGAACATCTTACGTGTAGTTGAAACAGTTTTTCACGAAATAGTTCAAGCCATGATTAGTTAGTTTTGTTCCTAACAAAGCAAACTTTTCGTTTAGATCAACATTAATTATATAAATTTAAAAAACTGTAATTTACAACATGAATAATATGATCTATTCGTCATCACGATCTTCTTCAGAATACTTATAATTTTGGAAAAAGTAACTAAAGAAATTTTTCTGCCACGATATTTTGCTCAGGAGGAAGATGTTGTAACTTTAGAACGAATCCAATACACCCCATTTAGCGTACATACGAGAGTAATTCTCAAGAATTCGTATAGTGCGTACAAATTCTAATTCGTCTGCGATTACTCATTTCAAGAAATCCAATATTTCAGACTTTTTGAATGTTTTCTTGCCGAAAAATAGAATACGGTCTGATATGCCATTCATTTCGTATTCAAGCTGCTAATCAATCATTTAACATTAGATTGTTTAGCGATATCTCGTTTATAAGATGTTAGATAATGCTACCAACACATCCTCAGATCTAGCTCGCTGGAGTTATCTCTCATGTCTCTATGTATATTTTCTCGGTTCATTCATCATCATGTTTCATATAGCATGTTTTCTTACTGTTCTCTTTCTTTTTTGTAACATCCACCTGGTCTTTTCCATTTTTGTTCATTATATATTTTTGAATTTTTCCATTCTTCACTATGTGTCATGTGTCACCAGTGTGATGAACATGTCCATCCCTAGCGGTTGTTCATCATATATGTAGTCGGTGATTTTTCATCAATAAAGTCAGTGTAATATGATTACATTCATCTCGTATTATTATCCAACCGATGATTACACTTAGCCATCTGACAAAGAACTGTGAAAACCGATTTGGATGACATCTTTCGTAGTTTTAAATCTCGGTTCTCATGTTTTTAGAAAGTGGATCAAAGAACCTCATATTTTGATTTTGCGAATATTCAACATTTTCACTCGAACAATGTAGCTCCTCGAACAGCTTTTTGTCAGATGAAATAACAAACGATATGTGTAAAAGTTCAGCAAGGCAACCAAATAGGGGCTTTTAGCAACCCGTCTAATTAATATACATCCATTCAGAGTTTTGACCATAGATAGTAAGAATAAGAGTTGCTAACATATTTTCAATTGAAGTGAGAATTATATTTACAAGTTAAAAATCAGTATGATGATTAGATTTCTTTTTTTCTTTTATTAAGATATGGCCGTCGTCCTATAATAGGTATTTGTCTATTGCTAACGGCATGTTCTGGATTTATTTGTACATTCTTTCCACAAAAAGCTAAATTTGGTTTTTGGTCAAGTTATTCAGCTTATACATTAGGTCGCTTTATATTAGCTTGTACAACCAGAGGCATTGGCATTACTGGATTTGTACTAGGTAAATATGCATTTCTATTCTTTTAGCAATGAAGCAAGGTATAGTCTTATTCATATTCATGTTTCATTGATTGAAAGAAAATCTTCACCTTTGTTCATTGATATTTCTCGTAAAAAATTTGGTTTCCTTCATCTTTTTTAGTCACTGAACTAGTTGGTCCAACAAAAAAATTTCTAGCAGCAATTATTATTCATTATTGCTTTCCACTCGGTCAATTAGTTTTGGTTGTTTTTGCTTATTTTATTCGTGAATGGAGACGTTTAACATTGGCTCTAACTATATTTACAATCCCGTTCATATTATTGCATTTGTAAGTCAAAAATTCTAATCACAGTATTATATTGTATTGTATTGTATTATTCTAGTCTTGTGCCAGAATCAGCAAGATGGATGATTAGTAAAGGACAATATGAACAAGCAGAAAAACTACTTCGAAAAATTGCAAAAACAAATAAAAGACCATTTGATGAGGAAGCATTTCAAAGAATGATAGTTGATCAAGAAAAAGTAATGCATGAATGTCCTATATAAAGAATAATTGTGTCAGTTTCTCATCGATTTGACTTAAGCTTATTGTCAGAAGCCTAAATTTCCCAGTTATAATGCTAAACATAAGCTTTACGAGTGATTCGGACAGTATAAATATTCTTGGTACATGTGCATTATCATGCCAAATATGATAACCGCTATTTGATGTGTAGATTCATTTCTGCAAACATTCTGCAGAATATATTTATCTTTTATTAGAACACAATGAATACCGCACAACAAATCGGTGTATTATCTTTATTTCGGTCAAAAATAATGTTTATCATAACTATTAACTTGTTTTTTCAATGGTACGACGTTTCAATTTTATTTGACACAGGAAGAGATTATTACTTAGTTTTTTTAAAGGTTTGTTCAAAATTTAGTTTATTATGGAGTTTCACAAAACACTGGATCGTGGGGCTTTGATCCTTATTGTAAGTGAATGAACAGTAAAATTTTATAGATCTTTCTGCTTGGTATCCAAATTTATGTTTAGTATCATTTACAATTGCGGCTTGTGTGGAAATACTAGCTTATATGAGTGCACATCTAATATTAAATCGTATTGGACGGAAAGTGCCATATTTTACGGCTGTCTTTTGCTTTGTCATCGTTGCATTTTTGACAATATCAATCCAAAATTTTCAAAGTAAATCTGAAAGTTGTTTAAATACAACTATTTTAATATGTCAAAATTCGTTATTCTTTTAGATCAACGAATTCTAACCTTCATAATGAATGTACTGTTGAAATTTTTCGCATCACTTAGTTATGGAATTATCTATGTTTATGCAAACGAATTATTTCCTACCCGAATACGAAATACGGGAATGGGCATGTGTTCAATGGTTGCAAGTAAAAATGTTTTTTTTTTCTCAAATAAATGACGTTACCAATATCCCTAAATGTTTAGGGATTGGAGCAATAGTAGGAACAACCAGTAATGATATGTTGGTATGTATCAGATGTTTTTTAGTTTTATGAAACGATTAGAGATAAGCATATTACACTTGCTTGTCGTCTGATATTCTTCCATTTGTATATAGTAGGACAAATTCTCATTTTGATATTTCGATAAATCATGAAAGGACGATTGATTTTTAATAGGAAATTATTTTCGTGATAAAATTCTACGCATTGTGTTGATTTTTTCAAACTTGAAAATTAAAAGACAGAGATCAAGACAGACATGTCTACGATAAACTCTGGAAATTTCCTAGTGTTCGAGTTTGATGCGAGTTGAGAATAATGATCATTCTGTAGCAATGAATAGAAATTCGTTCGAAAAAGTTCAAATTAGGATTTTTTATGATAAAAAGCTTACACAATTCTTCGATCGATCGAAAAAATGTCATAACAAATCAGATCAAAACTTGAATAGAAAAATGTTGAGCGACAAAATTTTCAATTCATGAGTGCTGATCCCAGTCTTTTCTAAAATGAACTTTTCTATGTTATTTTTATCGTTTCTAGGCTCGTCTTTGGGTCAATCTTCCTACTGTGTTGTTCGGTATTCTATCACTTGTGGCAGCTCTTCTCGTTCTCATACTACCGGAAACATTAAATAAAACACTTCCACAAACAATTGAAGACACAGAACAAATGGGTTTGGTTTGGTATGTAGATAGTGATCATATTTTAGTGTTGCACTGTAGATCGGCGTTTTTTTTCCTGTCAGTTTCCATTATTAGAGATAAAGCTAACTTGATCTAGAAATGTTTGAAATAGCCAATTGCGAACCAATCTCATGAACACAAAAGCATCTTAATCTTTTTGAAGCAACTATGACAATTCAATAAGCACAAGGGTGTGTGTGTGGTTTGTAGGTCTTGTGTAGATTAAAAGAGAAAAACATCTTTGTTCAATAGTAATTTGTACTTCTTAAATGAAATGAAAAAACGATTCTAAAATACCATTATGAACATTTTCTTTGGAAATTTACTTATCTGTTCACAAATTTCACAGGTCTTGTATAGTCACCGAGATTGCTCTTTCGGATGTTAAACACCGCAGGTCCCTATCTTGTTCTTTCAACCGTTATTCAAAAAAAAAGATTCTGAATACTTCCTGCTTTCTGGAAAGATAGTGATTTGTGCAGAAAGGATCATCGTTGTTAAAAATATGATTGAATAATAATTTTTTTTTGTCAGTTCCCAAAATGCTATAGCAACTGAATAGTCAATTAGAATTGAACATATTATTATTACAGTATTGCAATGCAGTAATGGTAAATTTCGTACAATCAGTTTTACTTCGATAACTGACTAGGAAACATTTAATTAACATCAATCATAAAGAGATTACTCTGCATTAATGAATAAGCAAGAAAAAGAAATGTTATTTTGTCGCTTGTATTTACTTGCACTTGTTTCTATATATTTAGCATCCGTATTCGTGATGCTCGACGAAGTCCAAAAACAAAACGGAAAGCTTGTACCGAAAATGATCAGAATACAAATGAAGACCTACTATTAAGTGAACAATTGAAAGTAACTGATCAACTTTAGATCTGACCAAAGAAAAAAGTCGTCGATTCAATAGTTATGAATTTTGTTATCACCATTCGATCTAATTTCATCACTTTTTATGGATGATCTCTACATTTGTTCTATGTATTAGGAAGAAGAGTTGAAAAGAAATCATGATTTATTTCCGACTGCCACAAGGTAGCATACCAAGCTCGAGATATAAATATGTGGTGATCGAAAAAAAGCAGGGTGTAGGTGTATGGACGAATAAAAATATCACACTCACACAGATCCTCTGAAACTCGTAAGTATCAGATAGCGTTAGAATCGAATGTACCCTTATCGAGTTAGGTTTTTCATGTGACATGCGTATTGTTCAACAGATTCTTTTGTTCAATGTCGAGTTTTTTTGTTGTTTGGTCTTTTTTTTTGCCAAATCATATGGATAGAGAACATTGAAATTGAAAAGGCATTGTATCGCTTCCTGTTTCCGATAGCCACCAAACGATGCTTTGCGATAAATCAAGGAAATCGCCCTTAAAAAGAAAATTAACATGCCATAAATGTTCGAATTTTTCCAAAATTAATGCTGCTTCATTGAGTTTTGTGACCGCAATTTTCACACTCTTAATGTGTTGAAAAAGCGTTGAAGAGAGAATGTTCACAATAGTTTCCATAGTTGTCTTGCCAATTGTTCCACATATGACGAGTGTATTCACTTTGAATGCTTGATCGAGGAGAATTTTCATTTTATCTATCGTGCTTGAATACAAAATATGATCTTTACTCACGCTCAATGTTAGTTCAGTAAGTTTAGACAAATCGACTAATTTAGATACTTTTTCAATTAAATTGTTCGGTCAATTTACGTCGATCTCGATTGAAAGTTCTGCTACATTTCGAAATAAGAGATCGATTGATGGTAAAGTCTACAAACAAAAGCATGTCTAATAGTGTCGAATCATTTTTGAACTATGACTATTATATGGCTTGTCCGCACGTAACGCACTTACACAAAAGGCCCTTTCCTTGCTGAAGGGTATCCAAGAGGTTGAATTTTCTGTCAATTATGAGTCTATAAAGACATATGGCCAAGAGCAAGTTTGTAACTAGGAGCCGGAACTATACATTGGCAAAAAATGTTTTCAAAAACATAGTGCTCCGGGAGGATAATATAATAGATGCTGCCGTAACGCGCTCATATTTCGTTGTTTGAGCATTTTTTCTTCAGTATTTTCTTTCTTCTCTCGTACTTGTTAGTGTATAAGCAGCTTATTTTTATTTCATTTTCAAAATATTACCAGTCGTCATGCTGAAATATAAACAGGGATCGCTGTGTCTCTCAAGGATTCAAAGATAGAGGATGTGAGGGTGGGGGTGGAGGTGTGGGGGTGGGGGTGGGGGTGGAGGTGTGGGGGTGGGGGTGGGGGTGGAGGTGTGGGTGTGGGTGGATGCGTATATGGGTTGGCAGAAAAACTTTACCCTCACCCACACCCACCCACACCCATACCCACACCCAAAGCAATATTAATATGCATCAATAACAATACATTAATATTTTCTCATGAGCAGTCATGATAAAATGAAACACTTAATCAGTTATACTTTCATGCGATTATGAAAACGCTGCTAACCTTTTTTGTGATATTGTATATCTTAATGCTACCATCACGAAGACTGGCATGTTCATGTGTATAAAAAGAGTGGTTAGAACCGTACTAATACTGGATGTGGATGTGTTGGGTGAAAATATGAGTTCGTAGTATACTAACTGATACTCACACTACCACACGCAAACCAACCAACGCCCACACCCTAATTTACATCCCACAATTGTTGATAATATTTTATTGCTTCGTTCTATGAAGAATAGCAAAAACAGGTTTATTAATGACTACTTATATTGTTCTTTTTTACTATTGTGTTGTTCTTCTTTCCAATATGAAGTCAAACAAATGATATGATCAAAGGAAACAATATCTCATATGCACTTAACGAAGTAGTGGAGAAAAAGCAATTAAAACTGGAACGAGGCGAGGCGAGGCGAGATGGGAAGCTAAAAATCTGCCCCGTTTTGGGCTCTGATGAGCATCATTAGAGTTAGAGATCTAAAAAACAGTTTCTTTTCTGCCAGGGAGAATTTTTTTCTAATTTCACTTATGACCTACAAAAAAACATCCTTTTCCTTTTGGTTCTTTCTATTTGTCAATATGCAGATAGTGGAGAGGTTAACAAAATATACTGATATTTGCGGGAAAGCTTTTTGAGTTGACTAAACTCATGTTAAACATTTTTTTGCATTTAAGGTGGTGTGAAACACAGCATTTATGTGACTCATTGTGTCACTTGCTCAGTGGTATGCATCAGAAGTTGTCATTGTCTGTCACGATGATCTCAAGAATAAACTGTCACAAAATATTCATGCGAAGGCAAGATGAAAACATTGACAGAGAAAGTTGTGGGTGTGGATGTCTTGTTTTGCATCGATCTACATCCGCACACTAGCTTACTTTTTGTTTCTTTCTTTCCCGTACATGATGCTGTTCATGCATATTTCAAGTCAGTAGACGCATATTTTCTCATACAATGCTTCGCCGTACACTGTGATTGTACTAGCCAGTTTCTTATGAACTTGTGCTCTCCAATACTCCTACTCATCGGTGCTTCGTCAGACAAATTAGAGCACTCTGATTTCGATCCATTTTTCATTTCATTTCTCATCTAATTTCGAAATTTTCTGATTTTATCTTTCAAAAGCAATCTTCTCTCTTGATGATACACGAGAAGCGATACAAAAAAAGTACAATTTACGAATCATTGAATGACATCTATCACTTTTTTTTCTTTTCTTTCGACAAAAAAGTGACCCAGCATAGACTTTTCTAGTGTCAAAAATAATTAAGCACATTTCTTTCGCATTTTCTGATTTTATTTACATGATGACTTCGTCTTCCTACGATGTGATGTTTCCTATGCTTTTTTTTCTGTTGAATGCATTTCTTTTTATGATGAAATGCTCTAAAAAGTGAATGTTGTTTTTATTACCGACATTTTTTTGGAGGTGGATGGTTTTTTGTGTTAGATTGCTACAATAGGTAAAAATTTTTTACTTTAGTCTTTTGACAATATGTTGTTTTCAATGTTCCTATGTCAAGAAATCTTTACTTTCATATTCTTTTTCCTATCTATGTTTGAAAAATAATTAGAGAAGTCAAAGTTTCCTCAAATAAGCAATGTCTTAATTTTCTTCTTTAACTGTACATTATCTTCGTGTTTGTTGTAATATTTGCTTTTCGTTTGCTTCCAGATTGACAAGGAGAAAAAAAGCTTACTTTTATACTTCAGAAGTATGGAAATATCAAGAAGTATCAAAAAGTACAGAAGTATGCTTTTTCTCCCTTGGAGACTCGTCTACTTTTAGTCTCTTAGCATGTATCGATTATTTTATCCAATCCACATGCACTGTGATTATGTTTGTGATATAACTCTGTAGTGTTTCAGGAGAACATAGTGAGAAATGAACGTGACCAATTAAAAGCACAATTATCCATCTCGTTTTCGTTCATGAGGAGTGATGGCTGAAATATATATAAGTGAATACAACTTTTTGGTATGATTACAATTCTAGCTGTATTTGCATAATAACGTTTGTTTTCGTTGATAAATTTCAACATTTTTTTTATATGTTACTACTCTCTGGTTGCCATACAACCCTCTAGCTCATGCTACCAAGGATCTATAAGTCTCATACTGTGAAAAACTCATATTTTACATGGAGATATGCCAAGAAAAGAATATTTTCTAAGTATACTTCTTTCTCTCTCCTTGCACACCCATTCGTACTAAATACGTTATTACAGACACTTGTTCATTATCGTGTCGAACCACCTTATCTTTAAATCTGTTTCGCCTGTGTAAAAGTCGAAGGAAACCAAGGGTACACAAAAGAAAGACCATTGAAATGCGAACGGAGTGATAAAATAAAAATCTTTCTAAATGATTTTTCTTTTCAGTACCGTGCAGAACATCTTATTTATGGCATCTTTTTTGTTTTGATAAATATATAGATAGAGGAAGAAAGATGTGTTGATATATAACATCATTGAGTGAAAAGTTAATGGTGTAAACCTTTTTAGATCTATATACCTGTCAATATCTGTAATAAAAATAATACTATCTGGATACTTTTTTTCTGTAGTTTTCACGCATATGAAAGGTCCTTAAGTTTCTCGACATATTGGAGAATATAAAATAATAATATTAATCTTGAAGTTTGACAGTAATTAAGATGCAATTATTCAAGATATTTTTGTCTACCAAATGGCGAGAAAAGTATGCAGCTCATAGTTAAAGATTTAAGTGAATATGAATCAAATTACGACAATCTGAGTTTTCACTAGTTCTAGAAAATTTTTTCATTTAACTCTGAAATACACTGATATATCTTTTTACCTAGAAAAAGCATATATCAGATTTTCTTGTATTCATTAAGACCAAATAAAGTCTAATAAGTGTCCTAAAAATCTAAAAGCTATGTTTATAGATATAAGAAGTGCTGTCGAGATATTTCTGCCGAATTTCCAATTGATTGTTTAGAGTTATTTCTCTAAATATAACTAACCATAACTAAGTATAGAAAGAAGAAGAAGAAAAGCAATCTATGAAATTCTTATTAACTTTTCAAACTATATATCATAACTATTTCAGACAGAATTTATTATGGTAGTTCTGAAAAAGATCTTCTATAAATTATATCAACAACCACATGATATACTTCTCAACACCAAAATGTTTAGTTTCAAATCTTATTTTTTAATATTATATTGATTGGATTTGTATATAGGAAATGGGCATAATTCAAATGACTAGAAATCAACCAATCAATAAAGTGTAGAGGTAATCTTTATCATTGTCTCTGAAAAAGTAGTAGATATATGTCCAATTTCAATACTCATCTGATAGCGGATGATAATATAGGTGTACTGAAGTCTAAAGATTGAGACAAAATGATGATTTAATATGTGAACAGCTTCAGGGTG